AAAAAAAAAAAAAAAAAAAAAAAAAGAAAGCACCATTGTACATCATACATCCTTTAAATGCGTGTTTATATGAGTCAAAAAAAGCGTTATGTTACGATTATAACTCCTTCAAAAGGTTGCTAGTTAAAAAAGAAGCCGCTTGAGCAAGAGCTGGCATTGAGTGGACCAACTAGCTCGTCACGATAATCTTTTAGCTTGTTAGCAAGTCATAAAAATTTTCCCATTCCTTGTTACCTCGTCTCTCGAGTAATAACGTAGTTTCTGTTTGGAATGATCACTTTTATGCGTTTTTGCATATATGCAAATTGCAAAAACGCATACTGGGAAGAGGCTGTGTGTGTCTATGTGTTCGCACTTTTTGTCACCCACTTTTAACTCGATAATCAGAAAAGCTAGAAGACTGGAACTTTGGGAATATGCGCCCATTCCGTGCGCTACCCTGTCGTTTTAATTTCATCCCCCGCCAACGTCTGGGTGCCGCGTACAGACGCTTTAAGGAAATATGCAAATTTTTTGGCGGGGAAGCGATCTCGGAAACCACACGAGCTAAGGGACTGAAATTTTATAGGGGTATTCCCTGTGCATGAACTAACTAAAGGTTTTAAATTCAGCTCCCAGGTATGCATGGTACTCACGTAAAGGCTTATGAAATTTCTAGAGGGAAAATTAATAGCTCAGATACGAGGAAAGCTAGAAAGCTGAAATTTTGGAGGAATGTTCTTTATCCAAGTTCAACTCAAATACTTCAAATTCAGCCCCAACCTATGCGTGGTACTCATTTAAGGGCGTATGAATTTTTAGGAGGAAAATTGCTAACTGGGGTGCCAGGAAAGCTAGAACTCCAAAATTTTGGGAGAATGTTCCCTATCTAAGTGCAACTCAAGTATTTCAAACTCAGCCCTGAGCTATGCGTGGTACTCACGTAAAGGCGTATGAAAGTTTCTGCAAGAAAATTACTAATTCGTCAACCAGAAAAGCTATAAAGCTGAAATTTTAGGGGAATATTCCCTGTACAACTACAGTTTAAGTATTTCAAATCCAGCCTATGCGTAGTTCTTATGTATGAGCACTTAAAATTTTTTAACTGAAAAATTTCTCACTTAACAACTAGGCTAGAAGTAGAAAACGACTGTTAAATGGAAATTGTACGTTTATTTTGTAAAATTTATGATGATTTATGCTAGTGACGCAAAAGATAGATGTAAAGCAACAGCCATTCATACAGTTAATGACCCGAGTACTTCAAGTCCGGTGCAAAAACGCATGATCGCACGGGCTCCCCCGGTGCGTTCCAGCTTGGGTTTTTAACAAGTTATTGATATTTTTGTATTGATTCCGAGTTGTTCATTTTGTCTTTTACAATGAAGTTTTGGTTTTCCGCGTGTTCCGAACTGATAAATTAGATTAAACTTGGACATGAAATTGTAGTTCGAGACACCATAAGGACAGGGAACTGGCTTCCGACAATTTGAAGCAGCTAGTAACTTAATTTTTCAAAAATTCTTATCATAGGCACTTCGGATCCCCAGTGTTATAATAAACATTAGAAGTTTGGAAATGACATCAAATATCAAGGTGTCACGAGGTTTGAAAGTTTTTTTCAAGCCCGTGTTTCACAAAAAGCTCATTTTCTTAACTTTAATAGATTCGGTGTAGAAATTGTATGGGCATACAGACGCATACACATGCACCTGCTGCATATATCCCCCTTAATATCTTTTTGCATAAATCAACTATGCAAAAAATGAAACATTTCTATCCGCATTTACTGCTTTGCCTGATTTACAGCTGAGAGACAAAACAAACTGCTTGTTGTGCGTAGTTGATTCTCCATTTAGCATAAAGCCCTTTTACCTTTAACATGCGTATAAATTATGAAAACTACTTGCAGCACAAAGTGCTTGCTATATACATCTTTTGTAGGTATGCATACCCCAGGAGTACAGACAGCTTTAGTGCAGCTTGCACCACCATATTCCGGTATCATCACCGGCATATCGTTCTTCGTTGTTGCCTGGTTCGGTATTGCGAACAAACTTCTTACCAAACTAATCGTGCAACAAGGCACGTCTGCCGAATGGTCCAAGGTATTTCAAGCCACAATTACCAGTCAAGTTGATATGTCCTAGCGGAAATAATTTTAAAGAAAATCTGTTTTTTCACCTAATGGTTAATGGTTCAGGTGATTCTAGTGGCTCCCATATGCCTCCTTCCACTGCGTAGTGCCTTTCGTTGCTCTGCTCATCGTTTGTTCTCGAGCTAGTTCGGTAGGTAATACAACATCGTTGGACCCCACTTCTCACTTTTCGGCTTTGCTACCAGTTAATATAAGTCCCATTCCTGCCAAATTGTGTCTATCAGTCTGTCCGCACCTTCGCCTCCGACTAATATTTAGCATTTAACAATTTGATTTACAAACTGTTCTTCAAATCTGGTGTATCTAAACTCCAGCGGCAGATGACAAGAGCAGGAATTGGGCGTGCCATTCTTTGAGTACGGTAACTTACAATTCCAGGTATTCTACGTGTCAGGGATAATAGCAGCGTTGCCGGTTGTCGTATTTACTATCTGGGGATCCAGTGACCGACAGTGGTGGTCAGCGCCCAGTTCAAAGGCTTCAGTGTACAGCCTGAATACACAAGCGACTTCTGCATCCATCTAAAAGTAACCCAGGCTGGAACGCACCGGGCGGGCCAGTGCGATCATGCGTTTTTGCACCGGGCTTGAATTACTCAGGTCATTAACTGTATGAATGGCTGTTTCTTTACACTTACCTTCTGCGGTCATC